CTTGCTCTTTCATTTGGGATGTGTTCCTTTGCCTCCCCTTTGTACCTAATTCTTTAGGGCTTGTCTCTGAATATTAGTGAATCTACTACTTCTCCCAGCCTGGTCCCAGCAACGTGAACTTTCAGAATTGAAGGAAGGATTAAAGAATTTCCCAGATAAGCAAAACGAAAGGAGTTCATCACCAACAAATCAGCCTTGAAAGAACTGTTAAACAGATTTTTTTAAATTAATGGTATTAATAACCAGAAAGCACAAGAAAAAAAGATCTTGCCAGGAAAGGTGATTATGCAGTGAAAGTAGTGGGTCAGTCACTTATAAAGTTAAGTAAAAGAAAAAATAGTAAAATTAACTAAAGCTATTAGTCAAGGGATACACATAATATAGACATCAAATGAGACTTGAAAATAAAAGACATGAGAAAAAGAAGTAAAAATTAGAAAGTTTCAGAATGTTTTCAAAGTTTAGGAGCTATCAGCCTGAAACAAAACATTATACACATAGGATATTCTAAGTGAAATACGACAGTCATAGCAAAATACTGTATGATTTCATTTGTATGTGGAATCTGAAAAACAAACAACGCAGAGAACAGAATTGGTGGTTGTTGTAAGTGGGGGTTTACAACTTTCAAATATGTAGAAAATAGGTGATGGCCATCCAAAGGTAAAATCTTTACAGTGATAAGATAAAAAAAAAAAAGTCCTGGGGGTATAATGTACAGAATGGTGACTATAGTTGACAATACAGTATTGTATATTTGAAAGTTACTAAGAGACTAGATTTTAAAAGTTGTCCTCACAAGGGGAAAAAAAATGTAAAACTATGGGGTAATGAATGTTAACCAAACTCATTGTGATAATCATTTGCAATATATACATATATCAAATCATTAGGTTATACCTTATACTAATACAATGTTAAATGGCAATTATAACTCATAAAATTGGAAGAAAAGAGAATTATCATGTGACTACAATATATGTAACTGGATTTTAAAATTGTAAAATAATGCCCACATTATAAAACTTAAGATAAGGAACATTATGGAAAGAAGAAAAAAATATACAGACTCAGTGTTGAAAAAATTAGCTATTTAAAAAATGTTTCAAATATCATTTACCACCCCATAAAGTTTACAAATAAGATTATTAAAAATGTTTTAAAAATTGGAAAACAGTTGGCTAAATTTTAAGTAAAGTGTATTCAGAGAACTTCTACTAAGTTTCAGTGTTAACCTACATACAAAAGAGAACCCACTTCACCAGCATTTATTTTTCCTTTATCATTGTTTATAAGTCATTTTGCCCTATAACAGATATGATATATACCGTGCCTTATAGACAGATACAATACATACTTCTCTGTAAAAACAAGAGAATACTTCTCTGTAAAAACAGTAAAAATTATAATGCACATATCTTCTGCTTTAAATATTGTTTTCATTAATTAAATGGGGCAATAAAAGATCTTATGTTAATTATAGTGCAAGCTTAGAAACAAATTAATTTCTTTTTACCTTTTTCTAGTTCAAAGTCCATTACTTAAAAAAAAAAAAAAACAAAGTCCATTACTTGTTTTTATTTTTATATAATATCATTTATTTTTGGCATACTTTACCAGTAAAACAAACTTTCCTTCCCTTCTTTTATTAAAAAAACTTATTAAATTCTACTCCCTTGTGCTAAAGTGTAACAAGGTCAACAGATTAGTTGCACAGTAATGAGAGAACCAACAAGGAACTGCTTCAGAGTAAGGAAAATAATTTGTAGAAAAGATTTACACTCCCCCCCAACATCACATCTCTCAACAAAGAATTCTTGTTTAACTTTATTGTTAAGTGTGCAGTGGGGTAGTATTTAGAAAACTATAATTATAAATGTACATGTATTAGCAATGGTGACTGTGAGTGAGCACAAGGAAACTGACAATTTCAATTTGTTACATTGACATCTCATGTAAACTAAAGAAAAATATTAAGAGTATAAGGATTTTTCTTTAAAAGTCAGAATCAGAGCAATTTCTTAACATAGTGATAATTGCCATCCTAAGAACTAATAATAATAAATAAGTAATCAGAACTCTCAGTTTAATATTCTTTCCTTCTTCTCTTTCCCTCAATCATTATGGGGCATTAGTTTCACCTCAGTTTTGAAGTGTCAGAGTCAGAGCTAAAAATGAGTATTTCTTCTCATTTGCATTGAATAACTAGCTATTGTGCCAGAATGTCACTTCACAAACCACACAATTTCTGCTAAAAGGTATTTATAGTTGATTGTGACAAAAACCTCAGATTGATTTAAATAAAATTTACTATATCATTTAAAATGTTATTATTTTATGGAAAAGCTTGTTATTAAGAGAAGAAGAATTCGAAACTGAAAAAAGCAGCAACACAAAATGAAGCTATCAGTTCATACTCCAAAATTTGAAGTTCTGTGGCCATCATTGTGTATTCTAAAAGAGGTCTTTGGCTCAGACCAGTATTGACATGACCATCCTAGGAACTGGGGACGGTGGTGTGAGCAGGATGCAGTCCCTACTTCGAAGGGCTGGCGAGGGAAGTTAACATTCAAGCCGGAGGACTGCCGACTGCAGTATAGGGATGAATGCACCGTGGAGTGAGGGGTGCATTGGACGCCTCTAACCTGCACTCTGGGGAGGTAAGTGGGGAAAGGGAAGGAAGCCACCCCACAGAGTAAGGAGGAGACTGGAGTGTGGCAGAAGCCAGAGAGAACTGAGAACTTTTCGAGAACCGAAAGCAATTCAGGTAAGAGGAAACTCAGGAAAGGCTCAGAGGAGTGGCCCCTCATAAAATATCTAGCTGGAGACATAAGAAACAGGATTAGAAGGAATTTTATAAAGAGAATTTAAAGAGCTAGGACTTAATCCCGAGGGCAAAAGAGAGTCCCCACCACCCCCCCACAAAAAAAAAAAAAAAGATTTTAAAGAGGAGTAATTGGGTCGGAGTTACTTTGAAACAAAGTATCTACCTGTTTGCGGTGTCGAGGTCCCGGAGGGCCAAAATCCGAGGCCGAGAGACAAGCGCGCAGGTAACTGCGGTAATCCAGGGGGCGGACGCCGGTGGCCGGCACTGGGGTAGCCAGAGGGTGCCGGGAGTGAAAACCAGACAAGTAACGGAATTAATACGGCTCCTGGGGCTTAAAGACCGGAGGATAGGGTGGGGGGCTGATGGCCAAATTGTAGCGTTGCAGTTGCTCAGACAGGAAATGGGAAGTTTGCAGAGAGAACGCGGAGCTCCGTTTAGAATACAGAGATTAGGAAAATTTTGTGGCACCCAAATTAAACATGCCTGCAACTCCGGACAGGGTGGTCTGGAAGCAGGATGACGCTCAGCGAGTGGAAGAGCCCATCAGGGCGTCAGAGCAGAAGGCGGTTAGGACAAGCCCCCAGGGAAGCCCACCCAAACAGCGGGACAGTGCTCAGGGGACACTTTTCTTTAAATCGGCACGGAATCACACAGCATGCCGAGATTTGCAGGGGAGTTCATTGCTCTAGTTTTGCAGGCAGGGAAATTAGACTTTGGGGTACCGGCTTGTTGAAGACCACCTGGCGCTGAATCTTGACCTGCCGCCTCTCTCAGCCCTGCACCACCTCACTGACCCCGGTGCCCGAAACTTACATTATTTCTCAAATTTTGGGGCGATCAAAGAAATGGATTTTGCTTTTTAAATGCCTTTTTGCACCTTTTCTCCCCACCCCCACGATAAAATATTATGCGATCAACCTTCAATTTTAATATCACTAGACATTAAAATATATAGAACGACTTTTTTTAAAAAAAATCGGGCAGAGAAAAATTTAGAATATATCTCCACCCGTAAACACACAACTTCTTTAAAGTCTCGGTAGCACATAAATAAGCCTTGGCGGATTCTGGGTGTACGTTTTTTAAGTCTGCAAGTACCTCCCGGGCTTTCCAGGGGCCGGGCCTGCGGGCCTCCCCTCCCCCGTGCCTCCTTCCCGGCCTCCGCCCGCCTCCGCCCGCCTCCGCCCGCACCACCTGCTCCCGGCGCCTCTCGTCCTCGCGTCTCCGCCCGCCCGCGCCGGTTCTCACGCGCAGCCCGGGCCCCTCCCCTCCGCTCCCGCCCCTTTCACTTCCGCGGACCTTCGGAGTCGGAACCAGCAGGCTCCGCTCCCAGCTTCCCAGCCCCTCCCGCGCTCCCGCGTTTCCCCTCTCTCCTCCCGCGCCGCGCCCCCCACGAAGTTACCCCCCCCGCGCACCACCCCCCGCAAGGACTTCAGGGGCGGTCCCGAGCCGGCCGGCGCTGATTGGTTGCTTCCTCCGAGCCCCGCCCCTGTGCACGCGCAGGAGGTGGGGCGGGTGGGAGGCGGACACGCGCAGCGCGCCCCCGCGGCCCGGGCGTTCGTGACCCGCGTGCTGGCCCTGACGTCCGGGCCCGTGTGCCCGCGAGTTGGTGGCGGGCGGCGGCAGGGTACACCCGGGTTGGGGGTTCGCGTGCCGCCGAAGACCCTCTTTTGCCCAGATGGCGCTTCCCAATCACGGCCAGGCGGGCGTCCCGCCGGGACTGGGAGCTGCCCGAGGGGCCAGCGCAGTCGCCAGCCCGGTAGCCCGGATGTCGTTGCCCCCAGCCGCCCGGCCGCCGACGCGCTTCTCAGCCCCGGGAGGAGGCTCCTCTTAAAGGGACAGCGCCGTGTTGGAGCCGGAGGGTTGGCGCTTTCTGCCCTCCGAGCGCGACCCCAGCCCTGCGGGGGCTCCGCGGCGCCCGCGGCCCCGAGCCCTCTCCTTCGGGCCAGGCGCGGTTGGAGCGCGGCGCGCCCAGCCCGGTGATGGCCACAGATGGCCACCCGGAGGCCAGGTTTTCCTCTGGCGCGAGCCGTGACCGGTGGCGCCGCGCGGGGCCGCGAGGCGCCGGCCTGTGATTGGCCGAGGCGGCCGTGAATGCAGGACATTGTCTGGTCGCGGCCGTCTCTGTCCCTCCTCGGCCGCCCTTCCCGGATCAAAATGGTGCGGAGCCGGGCGCTGCTCGGGTCCGGCCCCGCCGGCCCCGGTGCTCTCCGTAGTGGGAACCCCGTAGTGGAAAAATGTAACTTTTGCGCGATCACAGGTTCTGAGAATCGCATAAAGGTGCTTTCAAACAAAATCATTCTCCACAAGGAAATGAAATCATTGTGTTTCACATAAAGGTTTCCTTTAAGGTGCAAAATATTTTAAGGTAATCGAAAAGGGCCAACTGTTAGAAAAAACGTGGTTTTTTTTTTTTTTTACATTTTCGTCTTAGAGACGCCTTGAATTAGGATCTATAATTCATCTCTCTATACTATATAATATTACGTATTATGTATACGTATTGTATCTATAATCCTGTCCTAGACAGTTTCTGGGTCTTAGTTGCCATCTGTGTGAAAGAACGGCGCTGTACTGGTAGCTTTCCAAGTTTGCTTCCATTGTTAAAATACCTGATTCTGATGCTACACTTAAAATCTTGGTACATTCTTTGTATTGGATCATAGCTCAAGGCCGAACACTAAATGAGACTTTTTAAAGAGCCCTTGAGAAGACTATAGTTCTTCTCAGATTGTCTTTGAAAATATGTGGGAGTTATTTAAGTGGAGTTGTAATCTTTTGGTGTGTGATTTGGAGTAAAGGAATATGACAGCAATAGAAAAATTTATGGAGATCAATCAGTTATCGGTCCGTCAATGTGAAGAGGAGCGTTTTCTTTTATCCTAGAGACAATTTCTAGGTAATGGAATATTATAATAAAGAATAAGTATCTTTCCTATTTTGTTCCCAGTATCAAAGGAGTAGGAAGATGGTAAAGGAGAGAAGACACACGAGAAATAAGAGCTTCATAAATGGAAAATGATTGGAGAGTTTTGAATAAAATAAAATTGGTATTTACTTTGTAAAAAACTGGATAGGAAAATTATTGCAGAGTTAAAAGCAGACTTCTGTTGATACAGGTACTATTTGTAGCTTCATTTTTTTTTATGCCTTCAAAGTTAAAAAACAAATGGTGATTTCCTTCATTGAGTCAACATGAATTAGGGACTTAGAAATGACAAATATATGAAGGAAAGCATCCAGAAAAGAAGATAAATTTAATGGACATGATTCATTGCAAGAGACATGACCTCATTCCTTATTAGAGGGATTTCCACTAAACAAGATTTGATGTTAAATAAATTTATTTCAGACTTTCCTCAAAATTATACTCATGCAATATGGCTCCCTTTTTGGTTTTTATGTGCGGAAAGAGGAAGAAATGCAAGGAAAAATTGCAAACATTGTTGCAGCTTCCTGAAATGATTGTTCTGGTTTGTCACCCTCACCCATCATAATGTAAGAATAAGAAAGAGAAATCATCAACAACCATTCTAGCTGTCCCTGAAGTGAAATATGAATAGTTGTGTGGATTTCTGTGAGTGAAGCAAATTTAGTTCTGATGATTTAAACTTCTAACATTTAAATTGCTGATTTCTGTAATTAAAGTGATCTCACTTGAAAGTTATGGATATATGATTAAAATTTAGAGATTAAGTTGAGTGAAATAAAAATAAGTTGTTTATAATAAACACAAGCAGCAGGAAATATGATACTGTCTAATAGGTATGAAGTCTTGCCAAGTTAGTTTGAGACTTTTCCAGCAAGTCTTTTCCTTAGGTTTTTACTTTGGTTTTTAATATAACTGTAGCTTAATCTCCGTAGTGATAATATTTATGGAAGACTTTGCATATGCCAAACTGTACTAAATATCTTCTTTGCTTCTCATGAAAATCTTGGGGAGTGGAAACAATTATTATTCCCATTTTAAAGATGCAGAAACTAAAGATCTGGAGGTTAGGTGACTTGTCCAACGATAGTCAATTACTGGATATAGAGCTGGGAATCAGGCCTAAAATCCTATCTGATTCTGCGTAAAGCCATGTGGCTAAACAGAACCACTAATCTCACTCAACAGACTTATTTATTTCTCTGGATATGATTAATAATTCATTTTTGATCAGATCTTTTTGACAGTTACTCATTTAAATATGTTTGCATTAGCTCTTTTATTCATTTAGATTTCAGGATACCATGTGGATACAAGATTGCCATCTGTATTTATTTTGCTGTGGAAGTCAAACATCCCTATACATGGACAGTAGCACTTGGGAAAATCCTCTCACCCTCTGTCTTTCTGTCTTGTCTCTTTTTTAGGATCTCTGCATACCTGATGGCCAGGTTTGCTGCATCTCATTGTTGTCAGTATCCAAAGAAGCGCTGGCATAATTATTCAGTTCTTTGCTAAATGCTTACATGTCACCCAGTACTTCAGAAGATGAAGAAGGAAGGAATGCAAGTCAGGAATTTTGGGGTTCATTTGCACAAAGCTGGGAGAAAGGACTGTGTCTTTAAACACTTTTTTTTTTTCCTTCCTGCTTGGGTTTGTACCTTTGGCTGAAGAGTGCACATCCCTAATGTCAGTCAAGGGGACAGGCTTGCTATCCCTCACATTTTCTGTGGTCTCCTTAGACTCTGCTTCTAGAGTGGCAAGCATTCCTCTATAGCTCTGCCAAAGAGAGGGAAGAAAGGCGGTCAGTCTCACAGCAATCCCCATTCTTCTTTGTTTGCAGTCCCTGTATCAGGAGGGTTTAAAAAATTAGAAATAAAATTATTCTGGAGATCATTTGTGACTCTTTAATCCATGTGATTTCTGATGCTCATTATCACTGAAAATTGAGTTGACTAAGTCTGTTTAACTTTTGTGATTAAGGATCAGCATTAGGATTTGATGTTCTGGGAGCTGAGAGGGATAAAAGGATTGTTTTCAACCATCCTCCCACTCCCACCTGCAGCTAGAACTTAGTGCTCTTTGTCCTTGGCCAAAAAGAAGTTCTTCTCCGTTGAAACACTGGCAGGGAAGCCCACAAAGCAGCCTGCAGAACAGGAGAGCAGCTGTTAAGCCTGACCCACTGAGTCCTAGTGCCATTGGTTGGTGACAGGCAGGACTGAACTTAGTGTCTTCACACCTGAGGTATCCAGAGGGGCAGGGGGGATCCTTCTACAGGCTCTTACTACGTGATATTTCTCAAATCCAAGTATTTTTTAAAGATTTATTTATGCATACAAGAACTGGGGTACAGGCCAGAGGTGCAGGGGGGGGGGAGAGGATTCACCAGAGACAGAGTAGGGAGCAGAACAGGCAGACTGACTGAAATACACTGCTGAGGGGAGCAGCGGGCAAATCAGGAGAGGTTTGCTGCGCCATGGGGGTTGCTCCCTGGCCAGTTGGGGATCGTGCTACAGAGGCTGTGGATAGCTTTACGGTGCTGTGCTTAACCCCTTGCGCCACCAGGGAGGCCCCACTCAAATCCAAATACTAAGACATGTCACAAATGTGTTGGAATGTGTCAATCTAATATCAAGCACCTATCTTTATACTAGTACTACCTAGTGCTCAACAGGTGGCCACCTTCTCTTCCTGGGCTCCAGCACACAACTGGATTCTGACAGTGCCATTTTCTCACTGTAACCCCCTCAGCCTAGGGGTGGCCATGGCATTCTGTGGTGGCTTGGTCCCCAGAAGGCTGATTCCTTTCACTCTACCCACATTTCTAAGAAGTCTACAAAATGCCCAAATGTGACTTTCATTTCCTCCTCTGATCTTGTCTGACTCACAACTTCATCATGAGCTGGCCCTACCCCACACCTCAAGTTAACCTGTGTTCTCTCTCTTCTGCATCCTTGTTCTGTCAACCATCAAACTACCCTTCCTCCCCCTCCACACTCTGACCCTCAAGTGTGCTGTTCTTTTGGTTAAAAATACTCTGTGAAACTTCCTTGGGCTTCTTCCACATGGGCTGCCTCAGTGATTGCATTTACCACATTGTATTTGAATTGCTGATTTGCCTTTCCAAAGATAGAAGTTCCTTGAGGTCACAGATCATATATGTTCTTCATCTATACATCTTGGTGCTTCACACGGTGCCTCACATTTGGAAGAACATCAGGAAATAATAGCTAAATTATTGAAAACCTGTTGTTTCCTTCTGATTCATTTTCTTTTTTTAAGATTTATTTATTTATGCATACAAGAGCTGGGATGCAGGCCAGAGAGGCGGCGTGATGGGGGTGGGGTGAGAGGATTCACCAGAGACAGAGCGGGGAGCAGAAAAGGTGGATTGACTGAAACACACTGCTGAAGGGAGCGGAGGGTGAGACAGGAGAGGTCTGCTGCACCATGTGGGTTAGCTCCCTGGCCCGGGGCTGCTGGATAGCTGCGTAGTGCAGCGTCTTAACCCCTTGTGCCACCAGGGAGGCCCTGTTGATTCATTTTCTGGATCAGCTCTCTAGTTTTGTAAAACCTAATTCAAAATTGAAGTTAAACATATTTCATGCTTGTCATTATTTATGGAGGTAAAATTATATGCTTTAATATTTATATGATAGCATGCTTTTATCACGCTATATATAACAGACGTGCACTCAAAGTTGAATAAATTACTATTTACAATTAAAAGGTTTAAATTTTATGGTAATTTGATGTATTTATTAGTGGTGAAGTTTTTTTGTAGAGTGAGTAATCATTCTCTAAGTGATTTCAGAAGTATTACTTTTCCTTATGTCAGAACTGCCTTAAGAAAAGTAATTGTGTTGTACTCTACCACATTATAAGTCAATTTAGCTGCGAACTATCATTTTCCTCTCTTTTGCCTGTAAATATAAAAATAAAGGCAACGATGTAACAGTCGTATTTTTCTTCCAGGCAATTCCACCGTCTGTGTGTTTTCGGCAGTTAGGGAAGGGGGAGGACAAGCTTCTCCTGTGTCCCTCCGTGTGTTTCTCCAGCTCTAGCAGAGACGTTTTCTGTAATTGGTTTTCCACATTTGCCAAGTGTCTGTTTCCTCTTAACATTCAACATGTTTAACAGAAGTCTTGTAATAGTTCCAAAAATAGTAAAACCAGTCCTGAGCATAAAATGATACATACACACACACACACACACACACACTGGCTTTTTGTTGTGGCTTTGGTTTTGTTAAGGCCTTTCAAATAATTTTTAATGTCAAATCATGTGGGGAAAATAAAGATTTCCTTCACAGCTATAAAGCCCATTAAAGAGATGTAATCAATTCCTTGCGCAAGAACGAGAGGATCTGCATAGAGGCCATCAAGATAGTGTGGCCATCTCAATGCTCAGCCCTTGACACTAGAGACGTTAGGTGGGAGAGTATGGTAAATTTCATGTTGTAAACTCAGAAGGAATGTTAAAGATTTGGAAAAATTGGTAAGACTGTTCACCTGAAGAAATTCATTTCTCATTTTGTCAATGTTAACTTAAAAAAGCAAAGCTGACCTATATTTTATCCCATCCACAAACAGTCCTATGAAGATACTTTAAGTGTCCCAACAATAATCTGCTTTAATAATTAGATGTTTGGCAAGTCAAAAAAATAGATTATCTTTTAAATCATTAATTTAAATAACAACACTGTTATTATTACTATTATTAAAGTGTTCTTTAAGTGTTCAGTGTTATCTAGACTTCAGAAGAACTTTAAAATCACAGAGAGGAATGAGAGGCAGCTGACAAGCAGGTTAACTGTGGCGCTGATTACAATGTTGCTGTGATTTCATGCAAGGTATTTTAGCCATTTCTTCATCAAATTGGAATTCAAAAGATAAGACCACCTTGGTGGAAAGATGTTGTCCCCTGAGTCACTGTTAGAATGAGCATCCCAGAATAGAGTTGGCAGGATTCTCTCCTCTGATTCACACCCAAGTTTGGGAAACCTGCTTTGTCCTTTCCCCAAATCTAGCCCTTGTTCCCTCCTAAAGGCACCCATTGTTTTCCATAGGGCCTGGACAAGCTGTGAACTAAAAACCTTGCTGTTAACCCTGAGTCTGAGTTGCAGGAGTATCAAGACCAAGGTCGACATACCTAGCCTCAGGCAGTACCTGGACTTTCAGAATCTGAATGTGGAGAATCTTCCATCTTAATTAAACAGGGCTGTCTCAGGACTGGGGAACACCTTGCTTAGAGTACTTCCAGATGAAGATGAAACAAGAGTTCCCACTGCTGGGGAAGTGGGAACCTCCTTATTTATTGCACTTGGCATTTTAGCATATGTTTCCAGGGAGTGGAAAGATTGGTGGGGAATAAGGATGGAGTGTGTACCTCACAGAGATGGATCCATGTATGTAGTTCAAAGTATATTATCGTCTTCAAGGTTAAAAAAAAAAAAGGGCAAGGAAAAAAAAAAGCTGGGGGCAATTGTCATTCAGTGGAGAAGTATTGCACTTAAATCTGTATTCATCGCTTCTCGGCCTTTTGCTAAGATCATGTGTAAATCTGTATTCATTTCTTTGGGCTGCATGACTTACATGACAGAGGTTCATTCTTTCATTTTTGGAGGCTGAAAGTCTAAATATCAGCAGGGTCATCATGTTCCCTCTGAGATCTGGGGAGAATCCTGACCTCTTCCTAGCTTCTGTGGTTTCCAGTGAGACTTGATCTGCACCTGCTGTGCTCCAATCTCTGCCTGGTGGGCATGTCACTCTCCCTGGATGTCTGCCTTCTTGTGGGAAACCAGTCATATTGGGTTGGGTCAAGCCTCCTCCCACAACTCCAATATATATTTTCCTGCAACGATATTAACCTCTGCCATACCCAGGGATCCCAAGATGAGGAAGACATGGTCTCTGGAGGAGGCCCGGGTCAGTGGAGGGCTCATAACAATGAAGGAGTTCTTGGGGACTTTCTAACAAGATTCCATGCCATCCTTCACTCAGCAGCCAACCACTACTGGCATTAGGATCCTGTAGAGGTCCCCATCCCTTCCTGCCTGTGCTCACCCTATTACAGAATGTACCCCAAGCATGCCTGCAGACAGGCAACTGGAGGAGTATGAGAATGGATTCAAGCAGGAGAGACTTGTCATGGAGACATCAATTGGGAGTTTGTCATAAGACTACAGTGACAGGTGACAGGGGCCCCGAACAGTGTCATGACAGACACCTGTCATTGTGAGGTCCATACTTTCAGGCAACATTTCAAACTAGAGGTGTTTCATTTACTCATCATGTATTTAAATGCCAAGTAGGTGTAAGATACTATACTGAGTGCTTTGGAATTTGGGGGGTTATGCTACTAGTAAAGAAAAAAAAAATGAAAATAATTTAGGAAATTAACAGGACTGCAATTTTATTTTATTTTATTTTATTTTAAAGATTTATTTTTATTTATTTATACAAGCAGTGGGTACAGTCAGAAGCGCGGGAGGGTGAGAGAATTCACCAGAGCCAGAGTGGGGAGCAGAGCAGGCAGAAGGACAGAAGTACACTGCTGAGGGGAGCAGCGGGCGGCAGGAGAGGTCTGTGCGCCATGTGGGACCCTTCTCTGGTGGCCGGGGAGCAGCCGGGGATCAAACTGGCGCTGCAGGAGCTGCGGGCAGCTTCGCAACCTAGCGCTCAACCGCTGCGCCACCGGGGAGGCCCAGGACTGCAATTTTAAACTTTATTCTCTCACTTGTGGACACTTTAAAAAATGCCACCATAAAAGCAAGGACTAGGTGGGCCTCCCTGGTGGTGCAAGGGATTGATCTGTCTGCAGCCTCTGCAGCATGAGTTCGATCCCCACCCAGCCAGGGAACTACACATATGGTACAGCAGACCTC